TCATTTGTAAGAGGGCAGAGGGTCCAGAGGACGAGCAGAGAGTAGCAGCTCAGAGTGTTTGGCAGCTCCGCAGGGCTAGGGAGCAAATAGGGACATGTAGGCAGGTAGGTAGACTGAGTGAGTTCAGAATCACTAGGTCAACCAGAACCCAAGGGACCAAGAACCTAGAGCAAAGGGAACCACAGAGAAAAGAGCTTGTGTTCTGTGCTTGTGTGCTTTTTTTTCTGCTTTAAAAGGCATTTGCCAGTATTTATGTTGCATGGATCCAGAATCTAAGAAACCAAGCAGAAAACAACTGAGAGACTAAAATGCTAAACTAAGCTTATGATGATCTTGCAGTGCACGGGAGACAGAAATTGGAGGTAGGAGCCTATAAGAAAGAGGCACCTTGATAGGTGTCCCAGGCTGTCCTTTGGGGAAGGACTTTGCCTAGGGGTCGGGCAGACCAGAAATAGTCATCTGAAAAGTGAAACACAAATCCAGTTGGAACAAGGTAATATGCACCGGCTGTCCCTGCTTCCCAGGAGACAGCCAGTCCTCCCTGAATGAGGGCAGCCTTGTGCAGAGCTTCTGCATTCATGTCATACATATTATAATTTTGTCAGTAACTAGGCATGCCAAGAGACAGAACCAAATGACTGAAGAGAGAGAGAAAGAATAAACAATAGAAAGAGACCCATGTTACCCAAACATAGCTGTGATGAACAATTGCAAGAAGATAGATGACAAGATGGAAACATTCACCAGAAAACTAAACCTATGTAAAAAAAATTAGATGGAAATTCTAGAACTAAAAAATACAACTGGGATGAAGAACATAATATATTGTATACTTAGTATGTAATTCAGATAGCGTAGGCATGGTAGAAGAGAGGGTGAACATGTCAGTATCCCTCTTAAGAAACTGGAAAGAAAACAGTAAAACAAACCAAAGAAAAGAGGAAATAAATGGTGAAGATGAGAGCAGGTGTTGGTGAAGTAGAACGATCAACCACGGCTATGCAGAAAGCTCCAGGAGGTAGGAGCTTTGCCACCATATTGCTGTGTGACTTTGGATAAGTCACTTGCCTTCTCTGGACCTCAGTTTCTCATTTCACCCACCTCACCCAGTGGATTGAAGGTCACATGGGGGGAACTGTGCTCTATTAGAAGCATAACTTTGCCAGCTGCCTGTGTGGTCCACCTGGGCATTCCTCCCGCAGCCAAGGTGCCAAGGCTGGGAGGGTGTCCCAGCCATGACAACTACCGCGTCCTTAGGCAGGTATTTACTTCAGCTTCAAACCCATGTGAGGGTCATTCATTTCACTTCCAGGAGTTTCACACGGTTCTCTCAGTTGATGGTAATTGCCCCAACTCTCTATTGCCCGGGGAGTTTGTCTTCATCTGGGACCCTCCGTAGGGAAATCCTCACTTTCCGAGTCCTCAGAAGGGTGCTGACATTTGTCAGTGCTGTGCTGGTAACCCCATTACACTCTGTCACGTGCACGTTCTCTGTGCCTCCTCCAGCATTCCAGCATGTGCCCGGGCGATGAGTGTGATGGCCACTCTGCAGAGGCAGCTTCTCTGCCTCCCTGTTGCTCTGTTCTCTCCCCTCCCTGATCCCTCTCTGTTTAGGAGGCACCTCCTGCTGCTTACGCACGCACACTTGGCACGCAGAGATCTTTGGCCCGAGGCATCTTGGCCTGGGTTCCACTTCTGGGAGCCAGGGCTGGCGTCCCCACAGCCTGCAGGCTGCCTCACACTTGGTAGAGTGCAGGGAAGTCAGCCCGGTCCTCCTTTCTTCCCTGGGGCCTGGGAAGGGGTGGGAGTGTGCTAGCCTTTCCATTGCAGTTTTGTCCACGCCTTTCGAAAGTGCACAGGAGCCTCTCTGCTGGTAGTGGAATCTGCCTGAGCACCCTGGCCTCAGAGATGCAGCTACAGGGTGCCCCAGAGGGGAGGAGAGTGTCACAGGCCCTCGGCCTCTGCAGCTCAACCCTGCCATCTGTCCCAGCTCTCACCCATCCTAGCCTCGGCCCAGAGCTTTAATATCCCACACAGAGCAGGGCGTCGTGGGAACGTAACCTCTCATCCAGAGCCTCGTTTGATCAACACGCTCACCAGTCTTCTGTTTAAGGGAACTTGTCCCTGCCCTGCACTGCGGGTACAGTCAGTAAGGGCATCTTGGGTTCTGCTCACTATATAGACAATTGTGGTGAGACTGTGTCACTCCCCTGCTCGCCCTCCAGTGGGTTTCTGTGTCACTCATAGAAAACTCAGCCTTGACTGTGGCTTCTCCAGCTTAACACACTCTCATGCCACCCTTGTGCCCCTTCACCCCTCCTTTGATCTGGCCACCCCAGTCTCCTTTCTCCAAAAGGCTCTGGGTTCCTGTTGATGCCTGGGAGTCTCTCGCCGTAGACCCAGCTCGCCCAGGGCCTGGAATACCGTAGGGCCCAGCACCTACACACCCAGTGCGTGGGGTGAACGGACTCACCTCGATGGGCTGGCAGCCCTGAGAAGCAGGCAAGATCTGTGTTACCAGCCCTGCTTTCCAGTTGAAGAGATGGTTCAGAAGCATAAGATAGCTTGTGCAGGATCTCGGGTGAACAGAGGGGTGCAGCCTGGTGAAAAGCAGTGTCCTGACTCGCAGTCTGTGCTGTCTTGCTCCATTCCCCCTCTGAATTGTTGCCCTTGCATTTCCCTTCATTCATTTCTGCATTCCGTAGTGCCACCAGCCTCTACTGAGCACCGAGCATGTGCTCAGTGACAGGCCACCAGCGTGGTGAGACTTGAGTTTTTGTCCCAATGTTGCTCCCAGTCTAGGGAAGAGACAGTAAACAGTGCAGGCAAAGCGGAGCCAGGAGAAGCCCCTAAACTCATCCCAGGGGTCGGCAGGGCTTCTCCTAGGAGTTGGCAGCAGCCAGGCCCTAGAGAATGAGTAAGAGCCATTGGCCACACTGGGTGGGATGGGTTTTCTGGGTGGCGGGGACAGTCTGGGCAGGGGTACAGAGGCAGGAGCAACTCTGACCTGTGAGTCAGTCATGTTGCTTCAAGTTACAGATAAACTGCTTTACACAATAAAGGGGATTTATTTTCTCATGTAACTGAAAAGTCAGGGTGTAGGGCGGGCTGCAGGTATGGCCACATCAGGGTGTTAACACCATTTGTCTAGGCCTTATTCGGCTGTAACATCTTCCACACAAGCTTGCAAAATGGCCAGCATGATGCATCACAACTAAACAACAAAAATCAGCCTGAACAAAAGAAAATGTCTTCCCTTCCTACAAATTCTGGGGTTTCACTCTGATCGGATGAATTAGGACACATGCCCATCCTTGGACCAATTACTGGGGTAAGAGGGCTGGGAACCCCCTGCCAGCCAGTGAAGTCAGAGCCCACCTGAGCCATTTATGGAGGTTAATCTAACTCAAATGATACAGCTGCTCCTTGTTGGTGGAGGACGGGGGAGAAGTGGAGGGACACCTGTGGACACCACTAGGTTATAAATATGAGCCAGGTCGCCGTGAGATGAGAAAAACGGAGCGGTAGGCATGGGCCGGAGCAAGATGGCACTGCCAGCCGAGCTCAGGAGCTGGGACCTTGTGCTGCGTACACTGGGCTTGCGGTTCAGGAAGCTGTAGGCGGCTGCACCAAGCACACCTCAGGCCCCGAATGTCTCCAAAAAGGCTCTGTGGATTTAACCTGGTTTGTGAACTGCCCCTCTTTCTACCAGAAGGTAAATCAGTCTCCCTTCAACTCTCACTTTCTTGGAAAAGCATTTCCTGCTCATTGATGATCTACACTTTGAGGATGGGGAGCAACTGATCAGACAAGTGGGGGTGGGGAAGCATTCCAAGAAAAGGCCAGCGACGCCATGCTCAAGGGCAGAGGTGTGACCGTTGCGCCCTACAGAAGCCCCAGGACGCCAGCGAGGTCTGGGGGTTGTGTTGTGGGTGTTTGAGATGCCCTGTGTGCTTCCTTTGGTGGAATACATCCCCTTTTGTCTGTATCCTTCCAACTGTGGTCATCTGAAGGCCAGTTAACAAGACAGGCGTCAGCTCCAGGGTAGAGCTCCCGACCCCTTGTTCCTGGTCCCCGACCCCTCCAGGTGGAAGGAATCGGAGGGCTGTGGATGTGGACTCTCATCCTGCTTCCTCCTTTCCCCATGACCTTGGGCAAATCATTTAATCTCTTTTAGTCTGAGTTTCTTACAAGACAAAGAAACTAGTATCTAGCTGGCAGTATTTTTTGAGGATTATCTGAGAAAATAGATATGCATGAAAATATCCTGTCAACTCTTAGGGGATCATCAAAAAATATTCATTCATATATTATAAAGGCAAATTAAAGTTCAGGCATTGCTCAGTAGATACCAGAAGCTCAGCGTGCATCATCTTATCTTCATAGCCATGCTATATGTAGGAGTGTTATTATCCCATTTTACAGAAGAGGAAACTGAGGGCCAGGGAGGTCAAATACCTTTCCCAAGTCCACATAGCTGGTAAACCAGAAATTGAACCTGGGCCAGCTAAAGCCCCTCTGTGGAACTGGGGCTAATTGGCAGAGCTTGAATGCCTGGGTAGGTGGGCCACTCCCTAAGCCTACCGTTTTTGTTGTTGCTGAAATTTAGAATCCAGAAGAGAATGAAGGAGAGAGACAGAGAGAAATAACATGTATTTAACAATCCCTGTGTAAATTGCACCATGCATGCATTGCTGACTCATCTCACAAGTGTTTGTTGAATTTCATAAGTGTCCCAAGTTCTGGTTGTAGGAAACACAGAAGGAACACCTTCTGTGCCCCTTAACAACCTTGTAAATGGACGATAACATCCTATTGTGCACACGTACACACTGAGATTCTAGAAGACAAATAAGTCATGCAGAGTTACCTGCCACGTTGGTTTGACACCGGAGGAGAAGACCATGGAATGCATCCTGGTGAAGATGTGGAGAGAGAAATATGTTGCTATAGCAAGGTCACAGAATCTCACCCTGTTTTCTCCCTCCTTTTCTGTGCAGATGACAGACAGCCAACCCTCTGCCTTCCTCAAGCTGGCCGCTTAACCGCCACGTCTCTGGTGGTGGCATGGAAAAGACAGAGCTCTAATTGAGGATCATCGCAAACCACATTTTGCAGGGGGGGTTGGCCAAGACCCTTCTTTCGAAGGCCTCACCCTCAGGGGACCCTGGACTGTCACAAAGATTAATTACCACTCGACTCCTTTGGATGGGAAATGAAATCACCGATTAAAGCTTCGTCAAGAGACATTGTCAGCTCTTTAAGGATTGCAGAATAAGTAGGCTACTCTATTTTCTGAAAAGACGGATACACGCAAGCAGAGCCAGCACACCACGAATGGCCTTTGTGTGCCACACGGTGATGTCGGGGACGCAGGGGTGGCCGTGCCCCGGCGGGAGTGAGGTTGGCCCCAGCAGCCCCTGAGTCCTCCCTGGGAATTCCCGCCGTCCCTGCTGATCGAGCCTCCATCTCCGGGATTTTTCTTCTGTCTTTCTCCTCAGTCAGGAGGGATTTCCTCCGGCGCGTCACAGGGAGGCCCCACCAGGTAGCAAAGATGGTAACCATGAGGAAGAAGACCCTCAAAGTGCTCACCTTCCTCATCCTCTTCATCTTCCTCACCTCCTTCTTCCTCAACTACTCCCACACCATGGTGGCCACCACCTGGTTCCCCAAGCAGATGGTCATGGAGCTCTCGGAGAACCTCAGGAGGCTCATCAAGTACAGGCCCTGCACCTGCGCCCACTGCATCGGCCAGCGCAGGGTCTCTGCCTGGTTCGACGAGAGGTTCAACCAGACCATGCAGCCGCTGCTGACGGCGCGGAACGGGCTCCTGGAGGAGGAAACCTACAGATGGTGGCTGGTGAGACCCAGGGCTGAGGGTAGGATCGGGGTGGAAAGGGGTGTCCCGGACCCAAATGCTCTGTCCCCGGTGTGTTCCTGGGCCCTGTCGGGCATTTAGCAGGATTCAGATTATTGTTCTTTCGTTCTTTCAACAGCTATTTATTGAGGATCTGTTATATATGCATTAGAGTGGGAGGTGCTGCATTAGTTCCCCATGACTGCCATAACAAATGACAATAAGCTTGGTGGCTTCAAACAGTAGGAATGTATTGTCTCAGAGTTCTGAAGGCCAGAAGTTCAAAATCAAGCTGTTGGCAGGGTCGGTTCCTCCTGGAGGCTCTGGGGGAGAATCTGGCCCATGCCTCTGCCCTGGCTCCTGTGGCTGCTGGCAATCCTTGGTGCTCCTTGGCAATCCTTGATGCTCCTTGGCAATCCTTGGTGCTCCTGGGCTCGTAGCTGCATCACTCCCATCTCTGCCCCTCTCTGTGTCTCAAGCCTCCCTCTCCTTTTCTTAGGAGGATGCCTGCCATTGGGTTTAGGGTTCATCCTGAATCCAGGTTGAGCTCATCTAAAGATCCTTAACAAGTCCATCTGCAGAGGGTCTTTGTAAAAATGTGGTCACATTCACAGGTTCTGGAGTCTAGCACTTGGACATATATTTGGGAGGGCCACTATTTCACCGACTGTGGGTATCGAAATGTGAAAATGAGCCAAATCCTTATTCTCATGGAATGTTATTCTGGCCAGAGAGACAGATAAGAAATAAACAAGGTAGGCTCAGGTAGAAGTACTCTGAAGAAGAGCAGATGAGACTTGTTGATAGTGAGACACTGGAGAGGAACCTCTGAAAATAGGGTGGTCTTAGGGAGGGGGGTCTCTGAGGTGACAGGACTTGAGTTGGGACCCAAAGGCAGCAAAGGAACCAGCCCTGGGGAGATTCAGAGAATGTGCTGCAAGGTCCCAGGTCCAAGAGTGCAGAGCCCTGGGGGGCATCAGCTGGGTGTGTTGGAGGAGTGGGGGCCAGTGGGGGTGGGGGCATGAGTCTGGCAAGGCGCTAGGAGAGGGGTCTGAGAGTGGGCACCACCCAGGGGAGGAGCCTGGGTTTGTTCTCAGTGCATCAGGAGGTCACTCGAATTTTTATCAGGGATTTCCACGATCTGGTGTAGCTATCTGAAGGGTCATTCTGGTTGTTGAATACAAGATAAATTAAAGGGAGTAAGAAATATCTATTCATTCCTTATTTATTAAGTACCTAGTAAATGCCAGGCACCGTTGTATTGAGATGGAAAAGACAGTCTTTCCCTTCTTAGGTTGCAGGTGTGGCAGAGAGAGAAGGGAAAATGGACAGTCCCAAGCCAGGGTGATAGGTGCTATGTCTAACCCCCCCTTGGGGTCTGGGGCTATCGGGGAAGGCTTCCCAGAGGAGGTGCTGGCCAGGTTCTGCATGAAAGATTCAGAGAGGTTATCCAGACAGATTTTGGAGGAAAGACACTCCAGGCCGAGGGACCAGCTTATGGGCTGGAGGCTTGAGAGCATGTGTGTGGGGTGGAGGTGGAGCATCCTGGCTGAAACCCACCTGTGGATGGGGCCGTTGCTGCAGCTCCTGACGTCCTGCACGTGCCATTGCTAGGAGAAGATGGAGTTGAGGGAGGCCGAGACAACCAGGGAGACTTCCTGCAAGAGGCAGACTTCCCCATACAGCATTTTCTTTAAGTAATCCCTTTGCTGGAGGAGCTTACTGTTTATTCGAAATGAGCAGAAAATGTGCGTGAGACTTGGAAGGGTGGAAAGTGCTGGGCTGTGACTCAGACGACTGGGCTACATCCAGGCTGGTCGATCTGTGTTGAGCATCTCTGTGTGCAGGGCCTGGGGACAGGCAGGGTCTTTGCCTTCTCAAAGACTGTAGGGTCTGGTGACGGAGCCAGTGAACCAAGCATGATAAGGGTTAGGGTGGAGTCTTAGCCTTGGCACTGGGGTTCTTTGGGGCTGGATTGCTCTTGTCATGGAGGGCTGTCTTGTGTATCATGCAGTGGCCCTGATCTCTACCCACTAAATGCCAGGATCACTCAGTCCCCAGCAGTGATGGCCAGAATGTCCCCAGACACTGTCACATGTCCCAGGCAGGTTGTGTGTGTGTGCATGGGCAAAGTCCCCCGCACTTGAGAGCCACCAGGGTAAGGAAGTGAAGATACTGATGGCAGAGGTGGCTTCACACATGATCCCTTCTCCTCTCTGGGTCTCAGATTTCCTGTAACCACAGTTGGAGGGACCAGATTGAATCCAGTCTTCCCCTTCAGAGCTTGGAGTCTATGATTCTCAGTGTCACCATGGGATTCTGCCTGCAAAGGCTTTTCAGGGACAAAAGCCCAGGTGTAAGCCAGGCTGAAAGGGACCCTGCCAATCAGCAGGGGGCAATTATCCCCATTTTGCAGATTAGGAAACTGAAACACAGCAAAGTTAAGTGACTTGTGCCAAACACCACACCAGTTCCAGCCCTTAGAAATACTTTATTAAACATGGTTATTAGACTGGATAACCAGGGTGACATGATCTTTCTTCTCCAAGGTCCTTAGGGAAGGCAGCTTCTAAAAATTTAAGGCTGGTTTAGCCCTGGAGGGATGAAAAGGTATAAGAGAGGAAAAGTATCTTGATATGACCTGTGTATCTTCAAAGACTTAGAAATTCAGCCCTGGCATCAGGGTTCCTGGGTTTTGTCCCCGACTTTCTAGGTCCTATTAAGAGTGACTTTGAAGAACCTCTTTGTCTCACTGAATTTCAAATTATATCTCTGTAAATGGAAGGGACAGTAGTTACTTCACCAGCTTTCCCTACAACACTGCAAGCATTAGTTTTAGCAGTTGTATTTATTTTTGCTGGTTTAATGGGCAAGTACTACTGAATTGCATTTTTTTTAGCACTAATTGAAGCGGAATCTGTTTCCATGTAGCTGTTACCAGTTTATCAAACGTCCTGCCCCACTGCCAGCCCCGCCCTTCCTCACCTGCAGTCCTTTCCGAAGTTCGCCCTCTGGTGGCTGGTCCCAGAGCAGCCACGTGGAGGGGCTGAGTGTGGAGGGACCGGGACTTCCCTCTGTGGGAATCGGCAGAAAGGAGGAGCAGGGCTTTGGCGCTTCCAGATTCTAAATAACCCACAATCTGGAGACACATACCTTGAATAAAGAATCGGGACGGTGGCCCAGAATATTTGACATCAAAACCATCCCCGAGCTCCAGGCTGCACCATCGCTCTCTTTAAAAGCCCGAAAGCTGCCAGGACAACCTCACAGATGGAACTGGACTTGGGGCCCCACCCGCAGGACCTCACCCCCAGGACCTCTGGGGGGAAGGAAAAAGTCCTGCCTTTGAGACACCAGGAGCCTGGGAGGAAGGCCAGTCGGAGAAGGTGGCTTGTGCCCACAGGAGCAGACTGTGGACACGCTTTCTCAGACCCACGTTAGAGCCCTGGCTTAGAGCGCACAAGCTAGAGTCCACGCCCTGTTCTCCCACTTTCCATCCCTGTGGGGAGACTGACTCCTGGAGACGTTAAGGACTCAACTGAGGTCACGCATCCCTGAAGGACAGAGCCGGGCCTGGGACTGGGTCACAGTCTCCGAGACACCTTTGCTTTTCCTTCCGGTGCCCACAGCTACCCCGCAAGGCTCCACGGAGAGGAAGTGTCAGGGCAGACGCAGGGAGAAGCTGGCAGCTGCAGGCTGGGGTGTCTTGGGAATTGCATAGTTCCCGTGCCCTGCAGGGTTAGGGCGATGCTGGCTTCCCTTCCTAAGCTCCGTCTGTTCCAGCTCTGACTTGTCCACCCCATATACATCGGCACATGGTGGGGGCTCGGTTGTGATGGGCCGAATGAATGAATGTGTGTTAGCCCTAGCTAGACGGCATTCACTTACTTATTCCATAAACACATTGAATTGAGCGTGTACTGCGTGGCATGCCTGTGCCGCCTGCTGCTTGGACGCTGAAGGGGCAGACAGACAAACCAATGGCAAGTATGGATCTGCAAGGGATCGCTTGAGCCCAAGAATCTGAGGTTGCAGTGAGCTGTGATGCTGCCACTGCACTTTAGCCTGGGTGAGAGAGCGAGACCCTGTCTCAAAGAAATAAATAAATAAGGCCTGCAGTGAGGCCCCAGCGGTGCTATCCACCTGCTTACGGCCGGAGACTAATGTTTCAGGGGACCGTGGGAGGCTTCCCGGAAGCTGATGTACCATGCATTGGACCTGGAAGTCGGAGCGAGTTTCACCCAGGGGAGGAGGGAGGAGGGACACTGACTCTTCTCAACACTTGCAGGTGATGGGTGCAGCCCTCAGGCTCTGTTGACCAATGGAGGGAGGGAAGGAGGCCGGCCATCATGCCTTAAGGTGGGACAAACTGTGCCACAGTTTGCCCTCCAGACCCCCACCCCCACCCGTGCGATCAGGCCCAGCTGCAGGGTATGGCAGTGAGAGAGGCAGCAGGGCTGGAACTTCATTCAGGGAGGTGCCTGCTCTCAGGTGGTTCCTGGGGAGTGAACCTGCCTCCTTAACTGTGTGCCCGGCACCCCTCTCCCCTCACTCACCCCTGCCTCAGGCCCTCCGGACCACACCCTTTCTTCCAGGTCCCTCTCCAGACAGTGCCCGCCTTGGGCGCCTGCATCCCTGCTGCAGCCTCTGCTCCCAGGGAAGCTGACCCAGGACACCTTCCTCAGGGAGCTTGTACCTGTCAGCAGGCATTTATTAAGTGCCAACTGTATACAGAAACATGTATTAGAAACCAATCAGGAAAGAAGGGGAGGGGTATCTTTGAACTTCCTAACATTATGTCCTTTATTCCTACCAGTATCCATGTAGTATTTTTATTGTCATTGCCAAAGGCAGAGAAAAACAGAATAGTCCTTCTCAGGGAAAACGGTGATGTTGCGTGGAGTAACCTGCCCCACCTGACTCAGCTGGGCAATGGAAGGTTTAGCGAACTGGTCAACTCAGTTTACCACCCAACTCTCCCCGGCTCAGCTGTTGACACACTCACTGTATGACCTCAAGTGAGTCCCTTCCGGGGTCCAGGCCTCGGTCTCCCCTTGTGCCACTGAAGGCCTGGAGCACATCTGAGATCCCTGAAGTGTGGAGTGTGTGACGCCAAGAGACACAGGGCAGGGCATTAAAGGGTATCCCGTTGCAGAGCGAAGAAGTGATTCCTGCTTTAGTTCCCGTTCCATCTCTGCCACGCAAAGACTTTAGTTGGGTGGGTGTTTCCCTGTGCACCTCTTTAGCACCCGTCAATCTTGTTCTCACAAAGACAGGATACTTGCCTGGGCAAGCAGCAGGGTAGAGCTGGAACCGAAGGAGGTTGTTTTGTCTTCATCTTATCGTACAATTACTATTGTACATCTGCCAGGTAATCCCTGCTTTCCTCTTGTAGTAGAGGTGTGAGGTTTCCTTTTCAAATAAACTCACTTTGTTTTCCTAAGTGAGTCATTAAAGAAAAGTAAGTCAGTAATGGACGAGACGGTGTGGTGCTGTGTGCTCACACCAGGCAAACCATCCAACATGCCACCAACGTGCGTCCCGGCCGGCCCCATGTCCTCAACCCTGGGGCCTCCATGGCGGAGCATGCATGTTCCCAGTAGGTGCTCAGTGAGTATCATTGCAGGGTGGATACAAGATGCCATGTTGGGCCTTAATTCAGCACAGAGTGCCACACTGCCTTGTGACAATGGCACAACGTGAGGGTGCTCTATGGCCTGAGCACATCTTGACAAGCTTGGGGAGCACAGCAGCTCTTGCTGGTTGTGAACCTCTGCAGAGGTGCCTGCAGGGGCTCCTGGCTGCGGTACCAGTGGTCTGAGAGTGTGGTCCCCACATGAAGAGCTGAGCAGCAGCACCTGCTAGAAATGCAGGATTTGGGGCCTCAGCGCAAACCTCCTGAGACAGGACCTGCACCTTAGCAAGGCCAGAGGGGATCGTCTGCACATCAGGAGCCTGGAGCTGCCCTCGGTGGTCCTGTTTGAAGCAGATGTTTAGCAGCCAGGTGTGGTGGTTCATACCTGTAATCTCAGCACTTTGGGAGGCTGAGGCAGGAGGTTCATTCGAGCCCAGGAGTTCCAAACCAGCCAGGGCAACACAATGAGACTTCATCTCTACAAAAAATAAAAAGAAACTAGCTGGGCGTTTTGGTGCACACCTGTAGTCCTACCTACTTGGGAGGCTGAGGCAGGAGGATCTCTTGAGCCCAGGAGTTCGAGGCTGCAGTGAGCTATGATGATGATATCATTGTACTTTAGCTTGGGTGACAGGGCTGAGATCCTGTCTAAGAAAACAAAATGCAGATACTTAATCTAGATACTGTTTTTTATGGTAAAATATACATAACATAGTATTTATCACTTTACTTATAAGAATATAACTCATGGCATTAAATACATTTTCAGTGTGATATAACTATCATCACTATTCCCCAAATGTTTTTATTAGCCACACGCAGGCTCTGTATCCATTAAGCAGTAATGCCTCTTTTCCCTCCCCTCAGCCCCTAGTAACCTCTAATTTACTTTCTGTCTTTCAGAATTAGCCTTTCTAGATATTTCACATGAGTGTAGTCATTGTATTTTGTCATTTTGTGTCTGGCCTTTTTCATATAGCATAGTGTCAAGGTTCATTTCTGTTGTATCGTTTATCAGTACTTCATTCATTTTTGTGACTGAATAACACTGTAAAGATATATCACATTTTGTTAATCCATTCATTCATTAATGGGCTCTTGGGTTGTTTGCATTTTTTAATAGAGACAGGGTCTTGGTCTTGCTTAGCCTGGTCTCAAACCCTGACCTCAAGCAATTCTCCCACCTCCACCCCCCAGAGTGCTAGGATTATAGGCATGGGCCAAGTGCACAGCCTTCATTTTTTAGCTATTACAAATAATGCGATGAGCGTTAGCATGTGAGTTTCTGTTTGAGTCTCTGTTTTCAGTTCTTTGGGGAATATATTAATACCTAAGAGTGCAAATGGTAGTTTTGTATTTAACCTTTTGAGAAATTGCCGAACTGTTTTCCACAGCGGCTGCAGTTTTGCATTCTCACCAGCAATGCATGAGGTTTCCATTTTCCCTGCATCCTCACCAACACTTTTTATTTTCCATTTCTTAAAATTAGAACTTGCTAGTGGGTGTGACGTGTGATCTGGATCCTGCTGCTTCCCGCGGTGTGTCTCATGGTCTTTCACCAGAGAGGCATCGTTTTACCTAGAGGAGCAGCCTGGGGTCGTGGGGCCCTCTCCTTGGAGGATTCTGGCTCCTCCCCTCCGAGGTGGAGCTGGGTGCCTCAGGGATCTCCCTGTGCATGTCCCTGGTCACTAATCTCCTGGTCAAAGCCACTCTAGCCACTTCTTTTTCTCCCAGCCACTCTCCTGTCCCTGGGGCTGGGATTAGCTAATGGCAGTCACCCTGTAGCCACCTTTCCCAGCCCCAACTCCAGGGACGGGCTTTCCGAAGGTCAAGATTCCAAGGGTTGGAGGCTGTAGCTATGTTGTGAGAGAAACCTTAAGTGGGTTTCTAGAAGCCCGGGTTCAAATCCTGGTTTGGATTTGGGACAAGTCACTCAACCCATCCAGCCCCAGAGCATGCCTCCTCACCGGCAGCACTGTGGCGTGGTGACAGGGCCAGGTGCGACACTTCTCACAAAACCTTTCCACGTTTACTGTGAGTGAGGAAGGCAGATGCATCACCTGGCAGTCACTATGCCATGTGGCCAGAGCTCCACCTGAGCCCATGCAGGGAGGCGACCCATAGTGTGACCAGCTTGTCCTGCATCCAGGGAAACCCCTCAGCCCTGAGCATAGCAGGGTGGTTGGTCACCTTGGGATAAAGCTACTGTTCAGCCTTGCCTAGAGATCAGGGAGGGTGTTTAAAACATTAAAACAATTTGCTAGACAGACATCGGAGGCTTTTGTGCATTGGGCAAATGGCTCATTCTTTGGTCTGACTAGAACCTGGAGGTCCTGGGGCTAGGGGAACTGAGGGGTGGGTGGGGAGGGAACACAGAGGGCTTGTGGCCCTGGCTGGGGCTGGAGAACTGGCACCGCCACCCACTGCCTGCTCTTCTCCTTAAGGCATGAGAAAGGGCACGCAGTCCCCTTGACCTGGCGTCTGGGCAGGGCAGGGGTGAGATCCACGCAGGTAGGTGGAGGGCCTTTCAGAGAAAGAGGGACCCCCCCCAAGGAGGAGCAGGTTGGAGGAAAGGTGACGAGTTTTGCTTCAGACATGTCGAGTTTGAGGGGCCTGTGAGACCAGGTGTGAAGATCCAAGCTCAGTCACCTGAGCCTAGTCTCACATGGCTGCAGCAGTGCCTAGCACATAGTAGGTGCTCAGCAAACATCTGCAGCCTGCATGAATGGTCTCTTTCCTCCCTGAGCAGCACCTGGGCTCCCTGGAGGACGGGGTGGGGCAGCTGTATCTGAGCTGCCTCCATCTCCAGGGCCCAACAGAAAGACGGGCACACAGGAGGCCCCAGGCAGGAACCCACAGGAAGCCGAAAGCACGGCCAGGCTGACCCCCTTCCGTCCTCTGCCCACAGAGGCTCCAGCGGGAGAAGAAGCCCAATAACTTGAATGACACCATCAAGGAGCTGTTCAGAGTCGTGCCTGGGAACGTGGACCCCGTGCTGGAGAAGCGGTCTGTGGGCTGCCGGCGCTGTGCTGTGGTGGGCAACTCGGGCAACCTGAGGGAGTCCTCATACGGGTCGGAGATAGACAGTCACGACTTTGTGCTCAGGTGGGTGCTGGGACCCTCGCCCCAAGCCCACCACACTGCTCCGAAGGGGCTTCTTGGAGCTAGAGGCAGCACCTTGGCTTGTGGTCAGAAGGTCAAGGTTTCAGTCCTGGTGTCTCTGGACATACTCGGGGAAACCAGGCCTCTCTCGGCAGCTCCTTGCCTCAGTTTCCCCATCTCTGCATTGCAGGATGGGATGGACTAGAAGGGCCTCTCTGGATGCAGAGAAGAAACTGTACACAGCGGGCCTCGAGCATGGCACGGGGAGGCTGGGAGAGGGCAAGGCTGATAGGAAGACTTTTGTTTTGTCTTTAACGTTCATTGTCACTGGCCATCTAGGCCACGACAGAACCACATGTGCTTTTAATGCAAAATATATCTTCCCCGTCAGCGAGTGAAATAGATATTCCTGGAAGGTGCCTGGAGTCTGTCCGGGGTTTCTTATAGTTCCCGCCACACCACGCACAAGTGCCCCAGGACAAGGAGCATTGCAGTGGTGGGGCAGTACAGCCCAGCAACCTTCTAGAGTAGTCTCTCATTTCTGTGATCTCTGACTCTAGTCCTTAGACCACTCAGCTGGCCTCTCGGAGCCTCACTGGACCTGGTGTCCGGGGGGGACGTCCGTAGTGGGGTGGCAGAGCTGGGTTCCCTTGCCCACGGAAAGGGACCGCGACAGGCCTGCTGGATATACGACCGTATGCAGCAGGTGGCCGAGGGCGGTGATGGTTACACTCACGTGAAGTCATAGAAGAGGAGGAGCTGCGTCTTGATGGTCCCCATTTTACAGATGAGGAAAACGAGGCCCAGGGGCAGTGGCGACCGCCCTGAAGTCACACTGCAGGCTTGAGAACTGAAGCTCTCCAATAACCAGTGCCCCAGCGGCATGACACAGCTTTCTCCCCCTTCTCCTCCCAGGATGAACAGGGCACCCACAGCGGGGTTTGAGGCTGATGTCGGCAGCAAGACCACCCACCACCTGGTGTACCCCGAGAGCTTCCGGGAGCTGGGGGAGAACGTCAGCATGGTCCTGGTGCCCTTCAAGACCATGGACTTGGAGTGGGTGGTGAGCGCCACCACCACAGGCACCATCTCCTAGTGAGTCCCCTCTGAGCTGCCTCGCTGCCCCTCCCCCAGGCCACCCCTGTCCCCCACCTGGCTTTTCCCATTGCACAGTGGAGCTGTGCTGGGAGGAGGGGGGAGTGCAGTCGCAGTCGGCAGCCCCCACGGCCCGGGCAGGGAGGAGCTTGAGTGCTCTGCGCAGCACTTGGCACATGTTATGGCATTTAAGTCTCGCAGTAGCCGCTATTGTTAGCTGCGTTGTCCCAGCGAGGAAACTGAGGCTTGGCCAAGCCACCTACCCGAGGTTGAACTGGGCACAGCCTGTGCTCCCACTTAGCTCCAATTCCTAAGTCCCTGAGTCTTCCCGAGGACAAGTGGCTGCAGTTTCCAGGTTTCCATGGGCCCCTTGTCTTAGGCCAGGTTTCCTGGGTGCAGACCTGGCCCGGGGACTCCAGGTGCGGGAGACCCGCAGGGCGGCACCCTCAGGCACAGCCCCGGGCAGAGGAAGGAAACCCAGTGCAGGCAGGGCCACAGTCTCCCTCCCAGCTTGGAGTCAGCGCTGGAGCTGTGGAGGCCAAGGAGGCTCACACTGCGGGTGGGGTCGCTGGAGGACCCTGGGGCCTCATGGGCCCCGCCCACTCCTCAGGCTGTGCTGGGAGCAGGTCCCACCCAAGCCTTGAGAGAAGTGAGGGCGGGACAGCAGAACTCCTGGAGTGAGCCCAGATCATCCTCTGCTGTCTGTGACAGGCTGCCCTGGGCCAGACTGGCAGCCGGGGGAGGCATCCAGACAGGTCAAGGCCTCACTGGCCTCCCTCACCCGCCTCCCTCTCCTGTCTCCCTCTCCCCCCTCCCTCTCCCGCCTCTGGAGCTGCATGCCTCCACCACTAACCAACTTCTCTTTCTCCAACGGCAGCACCTATGTCCCCGTGCCCCCAAAGATCAAGGTGAAGCAGGATAAGGTGAGTGGAGCTCAGGCTCCTCTAGCTCTAAGCTCAGGTTCCGTTTCTGTGGCTCTGTGGGAGAGGCCCCCAGCAGGGGGAGGCGGCAGCCCCCACTTAGCTTCCCTGCTGGGGAGAGGGTGGAGAGTTCTCAAAGTGGGGTCCCCAGACTAGCTGCATCACCTAGGGGCTTGTCACAAATGCAGATGGCTCGGGCCCACCCCAGACCTGCTGAATCAGAAACCCGGGGGGCCACCCGGCTGGTCTCCAGGGACACCGCTGCATGCAGCAGTCCAAGAATCACCCCTGTGCAGCTTGAGCGTCTCTCCAGGTCTTTCCTGCCTCGGTGTTCCCCAGTGGGCCCCCTGGGATGGGTTGGCCAAGAGATGGGCAAAGAGCAGGAGGGAAATGAAGTGCCCACCTGCCCTTTGCACACACTGTGAGAATTAGACAGGCTCAGAGAGGTCAAGTAACATGCCCAGGGACACACAGCTCATCCGTGACAGGGCTAGAACCAAGGTCTCCCTGTGCCTCCAGCACCCTGCCCTTTGCACTGGGCCCCGCTGCCACAGGGAAGCAGCCCCAGGTGTGACTTATACGGTGGGGCTGCTGGAAGTGGGGGGCTCCCGGAGACAGCAGCACCTTGAGGCCAGAGTGAGTGATGAACAGTTGACCAGAGATCTGCATAAATCACACTTCCAGTCCAGTCCATGGGGCTGGAGTTTGGCTTGCCCTCCACTGCCTGAGAAGTCCCTGCCACTGTCCTGGAGGCAGCTTTGGTAGTGGAACCAAGACCAAGCCTGACACTGGGACCCCTCCCAGCTCGGCCACTGCTGGCTGTGTGACATTGAGCATGTCACCTCACCTCTATAGACCTCGGTTTTCTCATCGGTAAGATGAGGAAAGGGAGACCTAGGAGCGGCAGTGATTCCAGCCAGTGCCGGGCAGAGTGGGTGGCTCTGTGTGTTTCATGCAGTGCCTCAGTGTTGCTCCCTGGAGCCCCTTCTCCTGAGCGGCCTCACGTCCCACTGCCTGGCCTTGCTAGATATTTTTATTTGAGCCCCACCTCAGCGAGTTTTCTCTCAGTCCTGAGGCCGCCTCTGCCCCATCCCTCCCGTAGCCCGTGTCCCCTTCAGCACCCCGTCTCAGCAGTATGGATATGTGCCCATCTCTTCCCACTAGCACGGGAGCCCACGGCGGCAGGGTGTTTGTCAGGTCCACGGCTGTGTCCCCAGGGCCGTGACAGTGTGTGGCACCTGATAGGTGCTCCGTGTCCTTTGCCCACCAGAACTCACTGAGGGCCACGCCCTCCCCTCCCCGCAGATCCTGATCTACCACCCGGCCTTCATCAAGTACGTCTTCGACAACTGGCTGCAGGGCCACGGGCGGTACCCGTCCACCGGCATCCTCTCCGTCATCTTCTCCATGCACGTCTGTGACGAGGTAGGTCACCCTCCCCCTGCTGCCGCCGGGCTGCCTGGAGGACGGGGCTCAGTCCATGTTCCCGCAAGAGGTAGGGGAGAGGACGGGCAGGCAGGCCAGCCCGTCTCTTCCAGAAGCCCAGACTCCCCATCTGTGCCATGGGGCTTGTGAAGCCTGTCTCCCAGGGTGTTTTAGCGAGTGACAGTGCTCCGTGACAAAGCTTTCAGGAGCACGAGTTCTGCACAGTCTGTGCAAGTGCCCACGACAGAGCCAGGACTGACGGGTGGTGGAAGCTCGGACGTGGCAGCAGAACAAAGGAGCGGATCCTAAATGGGGAGGTTGTCTAAGGCCACTGGTCTCAGTCGCTCATTAGAATCATCCATGAGGCTAACCTGCAGCACCAAGGCCACACCCCCGCTCCATGTCACCAGATTGTCTGGGAACCAGGCACCCGGGGGTCCCAAGACCTACTGAGGTTGAGAGCCAGTGATCTCGAGAAGCCTGCATTTCCCCTCGCAGACGTGCCTCCTGCCCCAGGCTACATGCTAGTCTCTATCAGTGATCAGGGAGGTGTGCCGCTGGCCTGGGGAGGGGAGCAGGAGGGTGGGCCACACACCCCCACACACACTCCCTCCCAGGCCCTGGGTTCAAGCAGGGCATTCAGGTGTGCCTTCTTGTCATATCTGGCCCATCCCAGCCTCACCCCACCTGGCTCACGGTTGGAAATCCCAGGAAGGGGTCCAGGGTGCAGGGTGCAAGGCAGATCCATGGTCTTGGCCTTGGTTGGTGTCTCGTCCTCCTCTTGGGTCCCCAGGCAGAAATGTGAGCCCCTCTGTCATCTCTCCACCCCCACCTCCAGCCAACTGATCACAAACACCTTGGGGTTCTCCCTCAGAAATATAACTCCCATGTCTTCATCCCGCCCAACCCTGATGTCCCTGCTCTGGGGTGGGCCTCTGTCCATGGTGCATTCACTGAGGAAGCTGCATGTGGCACGGAGCTGTCCCTGCTCCTGCTCTATCCCTGCCTCTCAAATCTGTCCTCCACCTGGCAGCCCGGACAGCATGTCCTCTCCCTGGAAGCCCCTCCAAGTGTCCCTTCCTGGTCATCCTCCACTCGTTTTCCAAGACCCAACCACATTGTCACCTCTTGGGAAGATCTTCCTCTCAGGGCACCAGCCCCTACCTCATCTGTGCTGAGGGGGCCCTTAATTTAGCCCTTGCACCTACAACGACCGCTCAGCTGATGACTGCTATAAACTGTAAGCTCCAAGGCTGAGATCTGACTTGTGTGTCCCTCATTTCCTCAGCACCTGCCAGGTGGCACCCAAGGAAGGTCTGCCTGGACTTTGATTCGTCCAGCAAAGTGCCTGGCACAGAATAAGCGCTCAGTCGCTGCTTGTCACAGGTGCGAAAGGCCCCTGCCCAGTGGCCAGTGAGGGCCCCTGGACCAGATGGCTGCTGGCCTCAGGGCAGAGAGGGTCCCCACCTACAAACAAGCTGCCTTGTTGTCATTGTGATTCTTGGTCCTATTTTCCAGATGAGGGAAGTGAGGCTCAGAGAAGTGATGTGACGTGCCCAGGGCACTGTGCAAGTGGCAGAGCTGGGGTTGGGCAGTTTGCTTGGCTGCAAAGCCCTGATCTCCACTCCACTCCACTCCACTCCCTCCTTCCCACGCCTGCCTTCTGTGGCTCCTCCAGCCTTGGAGAACAGGTTGCACTTGCCACTTGCCGCAGAGGTGAGGCCTGGCCTCCTGAGGACCACCCACATACCCTAACCTCCAGGGTGCCTCCTGGCATTGGGCTTGAGTTTCACTTAATTCGCTTTTGCTTCACCAGGCCACCGAGAGTTCCAAGGACCTAGAGAAGGGATTTCCTGTGTCCTTAGATGTGGCGTTTACTGTTGCGTGGGATTCCAGGAGTGCCGCAGGCTCCCTTTCCTGGAGGTGCCGCCTGCGGCCCTATGTCTGGTTCTCACCTCTGCTTTGCCCCCACAGGTGGACCTGTATGGCTTCGGGGCAGACAGCAAAGGGAACTGGCACCACTACTGGGAGAACAACCCATCGGCAGGGGCTTTTCGCAAGACAGGGGTACATGATGCAGACTTTGAGTCCAACGTGACGGCCACCTTGGCATCCATCAACAAAATCCGGATCTTCAAGGGGAGATGATGCCGCGAAGGGTTTAGGATGGATGCGCCACCACGCCTCTGGATCCCAGCTCCAGCATCTCGCCGGAGCCGTCCCGTCCAGGAGCTTCGAGGGCCAGCCTCAGGGGTGTGCCCAGGTGCTTCCTGCCGCCTCTTACACCCCAGCCTCTGGCAGCCTCCACTCAGCAAGGTCGCCGAACTCCACCAAGACTGCAGAGCAAGTTTCAGAGCCTGTGTTGGGCAGGGAGACTTTCCTCCCACTGCTGTCCCAGCGCTGGGGAGACTCTGGGGAAGCTTCAGTCTCCAAACACTAAAATCGTTTTGGCTTCTGGGGTGGGGTTGGGGGGCGAATCTGAAGACTCCCGTATTATGATCGACAGGAGGCTTCTCAGGAAAGATGGGGAGAGAGACTTGCTGCTGCCCAGGGGTCCAGAGCTGACTCTCCAGCTCTGATGCTCGCTGGGATGTTTCTGAGTGATGATTACCTCCAGGACAGAGCCACGCTGGGCCACACAGGTGCTGGGGGGGGGGCACAGTGCCGCCCTTCTTTGCACGAAGCCTGGCCTCTCGCTTGGTGTGATAACCCTGTCATCCCTTTCTTCCCAGAGTCCATTTATCATGGCCAGGAGAGACTTCCCACCCCCAAGACCTTCATGGAAACTTGGCAGCATGTTTCTCCCTCCTGCAGATGCCTCTTCCCAAGCAGATGTTCCCTTGAGCAATCAACCTCCGTGGTTATACTCGTGGCCAAGAGCAGCTCTGCCTACTTCCATGTGCCTTTGTGTTTGGGGAAGAAATGCATGCATCGGCTGAAATGAGGCAAAAGCTCCTACTCGGGAAAGGGGGCCCCCACCAATGCCCCCACTTGCTCCAGAACTGCGAACGTCTTTTCTAGATTCCTGAGACAGCACCCACTGTCTTTATGAGACACCATAAAGCTCTGATGACACTCAAAGCCACCCAGGGCCACATCAGCTGGGGAATGCACTCTTATTTTCTTAGACTGTTGGATTTGGTGCCTGTAACCTCCAAGGCCACACGGGGGGCTTCCAACAGCATTTTCCCCAAGGGCCTGAGCTCTGGGCCACGTCCCTGCTGACCACCTCTGGGGTGTATGGGGGTCTGGGTGGGGGCCTCCAAGAATGGTGGCTGCACTTACCTCATCTTCTCATTCTCTGGCTACTCTCTTTCTCCTCCGCCTTCCTGATTATTTATTGATTTATTTTCTTTTTAATTCAACTGACATTGTGTATACCCAGGCTCTGTTGCTGGCCTTGGGGTTTTGATTAAGCTTGCTATTGTCTAACCCAGAGGCAGGGGGAGGGGTGCTGAAAGGGAAGCTTGTAGGAATTCTCGGACTTGGGGTGTTGGGGGTGTCTAGACCTGGGGCTGGCAGTTGGGCAGAGCTGTGGTGTCAGTCCTTGGTGGCTTGTGGAGTGCCTGCACCACCCTCCCGTGTCAGCTCAGCTTCCTTCCTCCTCATTGTGGATTTGGTGTCATTCTCAGACTGGGAGTGTCCAAAACTCAGTGAAACCTCATTGTGGCTGGGTGGGGAGTGGAGCAGGCAGAGGAGGACAACGATTGTTGGCTGTAGCTCTGAGGCTTCATCAGAAAAACCACTTTTCCTATTGCAAACATTTCCTAAAAGGCCACTGATGCTTTAGGGTGGTGTGACCTTTTAGGATGCAATCTCAGAAACCATGGGACCCACTCCCCCCGGTTCAGAATCCCCCTCTGCACTCTGGGTGGGAGGAATTATGGGGGCTCAGGGGCCTCAGTCAGGGGTTACATATGGCTTCAGGCCACTCAAAAGAGCCCCCCCAAAGTGCATGCCAAGTTTTGTTTGTTTGTTTGTTTTTTCTCCTGAATTCTGTGCATATAAGCACGTTTCTGGGGAAAGTTTCCATAGCTTTTATTACCTTCTCACATATTCAGAATCCAGGAAGTGTTAAACAAACCTGTTTCAGCTTTTAAAAGCCTCCCAAACCGAATACTTCCTTGACTGGTTCAGACTGGCTTGTCACTGCAAGTCACCACTCTGAAGTCATACACCTCCGAGGCTCACAGCCCTGGTGGGTGGCGGATTAGTTCTGGGACAAATGAGTCACATGGGCGCCGATACCGAGGGCCATGTTGACTCTGGAGCTCTTCCCCTTCTCCCAGAAGCTGAGTCTGTTTGGGGATACGTGTTCAGTAGAGCCATCTGCTTTGGGTTTTACTGATGAGGAACAGGTCCCCCAAAGTGAAGACGTGTCCCTGCCTGAGCTGGCTGCTGCCTGGGCGGCTGCCTGGGCTGGGTCTGCTCTCCTTCCTCCCACTAGGATGTTTAGGCTGTGGGATACTTTCCAGCCTACCGTTAGCTCTCTCATTCTACACTGAGAAAAGTATGGCCCAGAGTAGGGAAGTGACTTGCAATAGTAATCAGAGTTTACTGATTACTATTGCAAGTAGTAATCAGTCAGGGTTTGAGCAAAAGTAGGGTGTTACTGGTTCCAATTTGGTTACTAGTTTAAATTGTCCAGAGTTGGGCTTTCCCAGCAAGGCTCCATCCAGCATCTTGAAAAAGTGCAACCATCATGTAGGTGTCTGACTCTCTGCTCTCTCAGCACTGAGCTCCAGCCTCAGGCGACTCTGGTGGGCGAGCTCTCATCTCTGCCTTCTCATGCCATACCCAGCAGCAGAGGAGATGGCATTTCTCTTTCCCATAGCCCAGCATAGCCTCTTGTGTCTCCCTGGCTTAGCAGTGGGTACTTACCCTAATAAAAGCCAGTCGTTGTGGCCAGAATTAAATGCACCAATTGATGCAAGCCATTTGGAGCCCATCCTTGGGGTGAAGGTTGCTGAGAGCCAGACTAGTGTGTTTCCCAAGGGGCACTGGTTGTGCTGTCAGCAGGAGACCAAGAAGGACCCATGCTGGGCAGGCCATGGAAGGTGCTCCCTCCGGCCCCTGAATCCCAGCCCAGGGCTCTGTCCACTCTGCAGGCAGAGAGCCCATTGGAGACCAGCCCTGGGCTCTAGGCAGGGAGCAGAGGGATCCCCACCTGTAGCACACAGCGCTGAGCCTGAGGCTGGCCCGTGAGATCTCAGCAACCTCCCAGCCTCCGGGGTCCCCCAGCAGCAAGCCAGGAGGTGGATTCTCTAGAGTTGGAACCACATGCCCCTCCCCTGCCCTCTCTCAACTGTTACAGGAGACAGGAAGGAAGGTTTGTAACCTCTGGCTTCACGGAGGAATTGGGGAGGAGAACTGAGTTCATAAAACAGGGAAACCAGACAAGGTGGAGAAAGCAGTTAAGATCTTGGTGGTTCTTTTATGGAATCTCAGTCTCTGCTGTGGCCAGAAGGGGGCGCGAGAGGCCAAGCCTACCTGGCGGGGAATCACAGCTGAGGCAGATTCCATCACGCCTCCATCCCTTCCGTGCCAGAATCACTCAGGTCTCAACTGCCGTCTCCATCTCGTCTGGTCTCCTTATTTTTTGTTTTATTTTCTTGTACCTGGCTTTTCCCACGAATCCCAGCCCACACGGTTTGCTGCAGGAGAGCTGGGTTATTTGTTTCACTGTCCTCTTCAAGCTAGCCTGACAACAAGCAAGGTGGAAACCCAGAAAACCCACTCTCCCTCACCTGGTTATAATCAAAAGTACTTCCTGCAGGGAAGCCCAAGCCCTGGGTGGCCAGTGTCCAGCTAAAGATGTCTGGACGCCTGCCATGTGCCATCAGGAACCAGCAACCGTCCTCGCCCTCTGAAGAGCTCAGGGACATCGCTGTGCTCGTGGTGGACATCTGGGTTGCCACATATCTGGCCACGTGCCACCAGCCTCATCCTGTCCTGTGGGCTGGGCCAGGCAGTTCTGAGATAGAGTCCACTTTCCTCTTCTTGTTTGCATGAAAGCACCAGCTCTTGCACCCCTGGGTGCCGCCTGACACTGTGCAGAGAATAGGAGAGGGAGGAGGAAAACCAGAGTCAGGCCAAGCATCTCACAGCGTGTCAGGGCCAGGGAATTAGCAACTCTTAACTTTCTTACCAAAAGAGCACTGAATTTCCTACTGGCGGCCAGCCTGCTCCACACCGCCCGTTTTTCCCGCCAGATATCTGCACTGCCCAGCACCATCGCCCAGCTTCTACCCTAAAACTGCATTGTGGCCAGTCCTGAGCTGGGACATCAGCTTTAACCCCAGCCTGCATCAGGGACCCCTCCCCGTCAGGGTGGTGGCAGGTTCATTCCTGTTCTCCTGCACAATCGCTTTAGTACTTCACCGAATTCCCTTCAAAGCCAAAGTTTCTTGAGCACTTTTTCCTCCTTGCAGACTTGTGTGTTTGGTTGTTGGTGTTTTGAAATTTGCTTTCTGTTCCCACTCGCCTCTCTCCGTTCCGCAGCCGAGCACTGATCTGAGTGCATCCGGACGACGGTAGCAAGAGTCTACTTTCCTCAGCCCCTGCTCTGTTTTATTTATTGTTGAATATTTCCAATGACCTGAATCAAAGTGAATTAAAAAAGAGCTATTTTATCGTTTGGGTGGGCGTGTTGTTTTCTACACACCGGCCGGGCGTTGGTGCTGCCTCTCTCTTGCCGCTTCCATTCAAGAGATGTTTGCCATCCTGAAATGGCTCCACGCTTCATCTCCAGAGGGCCCCCTGGCTGGCGCCCCCACACCAGTGCCCAGAGGTTCAGGAGACAGAGACGAGCCTTAGGTCGTCAGGCCTTGGAGAGGCCTCTTCTCAAACCCAGCTGTGCTCTTCCCTGCTGGGTGACTGGCGAGTCACCTAACCTCTGGACCTTGGTGGGCCGGTGTCTGTCCTGCCCCAACAGAGCAGGGCACACCCAGGGGTAGACACAAGTCTGGTCCAAAGTTGGTCCAAAACTGATTTCCAGTTGGGGTTTTATTTTGTTTTGTTTTTCATAAGGGATCCCAGAACCCACTATTGGGACTCTATAGTGTAAAATTGTGTAAGTAGTGTAAGTAGTGATGTGTGTAAGTAGTGTAAGTAGTGATGATACACTCCCGATGTATACAGCACTTTACAGTCTGTACAACACCTCCCTGGCCGTGATCTTGAATTCTCACAGCAGCCCAGCAGGCTGATATGCATGAGGACAGAGGTGCAGGAAACTGAGCCGGGCTCCACTCTCCAGATCTGGGCGTCCTGTCTGCTCTGCTGCTTTCAGCCCTGAGTTCATCCGAGACGTTTGTCTCTGTGACCCTCCACAAGCAGCCTCCAAGGCGGGATGGTGCAGAGTCACACAGGTGCCCTGGAGTCCGGCTGCTGGGACCCTGCTCATTAGCTGTGTGAGTTTAAGCAAGTTACTTAATGTCCCTGTGTCTTATCTCCTTATGGATAAGGCTGGGGTGACATAATGCCTGCGTATAAACACGTCAAGGACTAAATGAGTTAACATGCAAAGGGCTTACGAAAGAGCCTGGCTTACAGTAAGCCTCCAACACGTGTTAGCTATTATTAAATCAAACACGTGAGCAGAGGTGCTCTTGGCAAAACTGAAATGAACAATGAGGCTCCAGTGGGGAACCCAGGGTCCCCCCTTCCGGCCACCTCTGTCCGGCGTCCTGCCCCACTGCCTGGGCCTTCATGTTGCCTCTGTCCCTCCTCCGGGAGGTTTCTTCAACTCCACAGTTCCCTTTCTCCTTGCCCCATCATGTCCCTAAGATGACCCTGCTCTCATCTGTTGTCAACACGCTCTGGGCTCCATTCTATAGTAGACTAGCGCCCACAAATTCTGTTCTCTTTGGTCTCACATTCCAGATGCAATGTGGACAGGTGGCCACGAGGTGGCACCACACCACAAGCTGCCCCTAGGGACAGCTCCTGGAGCTCCAGGTCACCCTGGAGCCACCCTGTCCCTGTTTGTCTCCCCGTCTCAGGCTGGAGCCCCTGCAAGGTCCCTCCTCAGAGAGCCCTGAGACTCTAAAGGCATTCATGACACACAGACACCTGCCTGGATCCAGGGGCCAAAGCCAAGGCCCACCTGCTCTGCACCCCACCTGCACCCCTCCGCAAAGCAGACACTGGGGGTTTGGTCCTGGGACCCTAGGGAAGTCCAAGGAACACCCCTTGGGCCGCCCCCCACACGTGCCTAATCAGCAGTAAAGAGAAGATAGACTAAAAAGCAGTTCCTGAGTAGGAGCTGCCTATAATAGTTTCCTTCTCTCTTCTGAAGGATGTTTAAATGCGCTCGGGGATGGAATGGCGAGTGGAGTGACCCCTCAGCCATTCTGTAGACTCAGCCATCGTCAGTGTTTTCCACGTAGGCCCTCATTTTCTCTTCCTTTCTTCTCCATTGTTGACTTTCCCTGGCGTTTAGGGATGAGACTCAGATGTTTCTTTGCCCCCTGAGTGTGAGCGAGCAGCTCTGCAATGTGGCCACTCTGCCTGATGGCAGTGTCACCTAGCAGGGGCCGGGTGGCTCCAAGGGGGCCGCCCTGTTTGTCCTTTGGATGTCTTTGGTGGTTGGCTTGTTCACAGCAGGATTCACTAACGGTCCTCACATCACAAAAATAAATTGTGTGTGTGTGTGTGTGTGTGTGTGTGTGTGTGTGTGTGAGTGTGTGTGTACTCAGAAGCCTACTCCTTACTAAGGGACAGACACCATCTGAGACATGGCCTGGGTGGGAGCGGAGAGTGGGCTTGGTGGGGGATGGGGTGAAAACCAGGCTGGGATCGCTGGAGTCCCTGAGACCAGCATGTGGAGAGGGAGGGGCTCCTCCAGGGGCTGTGACAGGGAGGAAGAAAGGGCCGAGATTGGGGGGATGGGGTTACAGGGGAGCATTTGTCTTATGTTTGAGGGAGACTAATGAAGGAGACTAGAGCAGGCTCCGCGGCTGCCAGGAGCTGGTGGAGAGAAGAAGGCATGGGATCCGAAGGAGAGAGGAGGAGGAGGGTCCCAAAGGGGAAAGAGGCAAGAAGGACCCCCACCTCCCCCACAAGGGGATAGTCTAGGGCCAGTTGGGGACACAGGGGCAGGTAGCTTTGGTAGCAGGAGGGTGAGATTGTTGCTATCTGACAGCTTCAATTTCCCCATGGGCCGGGGTGGGGAGGGGTGAGGGTAACCTGCAGGTGGGAAGGAGGAGGGAGCAACCAGGGAACAACTGGGGACAGTCTTCCCATGGGTAATTGGAGCAATCTGACTGTGAGGACAGAGGCAGCTGGTAACAGGGCGCAGGCCCAGATGAGGTTGGAGAGGATGCATGCAGAGGGCCCGGCTGTGCGAGGTGCAGGGACGGAGGTGCGCTGCTGGCCTCCAGAGGGCGTGCTGGGACAGCCCGGGAAGGGGCAGGCTGCAGGGAGCAAGTGCCCATGGGAGCTGGGTAGCCGGGTAGGAAAGGCGGGAGACTCAGGCCCACTGAGTGGAGTCCTGCGGGTGGCAGGACACCGTCCTCACAGAAACCGCTGGGGGCTGGAAGGCAGGGCAGCCCGGGCACCACCATCTGAGCAAGGTCTCCAAGCTGGGGCAGCTCCAAGGGGTGCAGGGACACGGGGAGAAGCAGCGAGTGAGCAGCCAGCAGCCAGGGGCTGGAGGGTGGGCTCTGTACGGGAGCTCCAAGGAGACCCAAGGCCGTGGGGTACAAGTGTGCACGTTGGGTAAAAACACGCTCACCAATCTGCAAAGTCTGCTGCAAGCGAGCAGACGCAGGCAGCAAGATGGTGGTTGCTGCAGCAGAAAATGCGGAAAAGTGGAACAGCCAGGTAGCCTAGCAGCACAGAAAGGCCCAGAAACATCCGTGTGGCCAGTGAAGATACAGCTCTCCCCACACTGCTGTTGGAGCAGGACAAAAGTGACCATAGGCCAGGATGTTGTCAGGGGGCGTAGTTTGGGAGACCCAGGACCTTCTGGCATGTTCCACAGGTTAGGAAAGCAGCCTGCCGCTCTGTGGGGCTGGGGGCTCCCTGTGATGACACAGTGACAAGGTCCTCCTGCACAGAGGACCCTAAGTGACAGGATCAGAACACCCTCCGAGGGATGGAGCCCCCCGGGGGTGTTTCCATTGAGCCTATTGCTGTGGAAAGCTGAATGTTCTGGAGGCTTCTTCCGACCCACAGACACCCGGGTGCAGCTCCCCGGGAGTGCCTGAGCGTTCTGAGACTGCCTTCACCGATGTTTTGTGACATCGGGACTGGTCTTTCTGAAGCTTTGGGAGGTGTCTTCCCTTTGCAAGTCCCTCAAGGGGAGGCTGTGGCTGGACCAGGAGCACCCACAGGCCCTGGGAGTCGAAGGTCTGGATCCAGAGACAGACCCTCTCTGCAAAGAGGAACGACGATTCCTGGCTCGCCTGGCTCGCAGGACTGGGATGAGCAGACGCACGCGCGTGTGTATTTCATTTGTCGAATGTGCCCTGAGGGCCACTGGGGGCTGGAGACCCAGAGATGGGAAGACGAGGTCTCTGCCACCAGAAGGTCCGAGCGACTGAGGGGACAAGCAGACGGCCGACAGCGACAGCACCCCTGCAGAAAGGGGGTATGTTAACAATGCCCACAGTTCCCTTTCCCGGCCGCCGGCACAGGCTGAGTGCTTCTCCCACATGATGCCATTTAATCCTGCAGTGTCCTGCCAAGAGGTGGCGTTCCACTCTCTGGGGGAGAATCAAACAGTAAACTGAGTCTCAGGGAGGTTGAGTTGGGGTGGAGCCAGGACCGGCTCCCGAATCTGGGGTGAAGATTACAAGTGTCCCAGACTGCTCAAGGGCTTAGGGGAATAGGACAGGGGACAGCTTTGCTCCAAACCAAAGCACGTTGGAGACGAGGGGCTGGTTCCCTGTGGTAAAGCAGGCCCTCTCAGCGTTCATTCGGGCCTTGGCCAGAGCGCTGACCCCAGCACCTGGTGACTGACGGTGGCCACCAGAGGGCGGGGCGGACCCACCTTCTGCCAGGTTTCTTTCAACTCGGTTTGGTTAGGACCCAGAAGCCGTTCAAAAGCACGAGGGAGAAGGCATGACACAGCCACGTGTAAGGTCAGATCTTAAAAGGACTTGCCTTTAGTAATTCGGCCAACACCTTCCAGATAGGGAGATTTTTATCTCTGTTATTCGGCCAAGAAAATAGGTCAAGAGAAAAAGTCTGGGCCCGGTTGGAAAAGATCAAAGCCCCAAGCGAGTGTGAGTGAGCTGTCTGACGAGCATCGCGTGGCTTTGTGCTGCCACGCAGAGCAGCTGGCCCCCGCCCGCCTGGGCCTCCAGACCTTCCCCTCCGAGCCTTCTCCCTGGCACTCCTGGGATTTATTAGCTGTGTGACCTGGGGAGGGGACAGGGAAATCTGACCTCTTTGAACCTTAGTTTCTTAATCTGCAAGATGAGTATTAAATGGCATAGTATACACCAAGCAAAGACGGCAGGAACCCTCTGCCAAGCACGTCACCTGCATTTTCTCACTGAATTCACACAACATCCTGGAATTCGATAGCATTATCCCCACAGAGACTGAAAGTTACTTGCCTGTGGCCACACAGTTCATAGGGATTAACAGGATTAAAGGCCAGGCCTGACTCGTCTCTGTCGGGATGGG